CTAGCTCAGTATTCGGCTGAGGGCAATCAATGGCAGTGCATATTTGTTCACGATGCAGTGCCATCAGATGGCCATTAATAGCCCAGAAATCAGGCAATTACCAACAAAGGGACGAGTTCAATATCGCAGTCAATGACTCGCACGAGGAGCTGCAGTCATCTGCCTGTGAGGTTTGTCAGCTATTCGCTTTACTGAAACCGTCGGCTCTAGACACTTCAACATGCTCCCTACGGGCAGTCCCTTTGAGCAAGCTTTTCACAAATCGCTATGCTTACGAACATCCTTTACGACCAGACACGAGCCTACTATTTATTGACTCGGAAATGAATGAGCCACGCCCTGATAGGCGAAGGCATATGGGCCACGTTATAGCAGTTGAACCATCACCTGAAGCATCTCCTATCCCTGAACTCCGACGCTTCAACCATGAGACAATCGATTTTCAGCAGATCAAGTACTGGATCAAATACTGCAACAAAAATCACCTGCAGCACTGCAAACCAGACAAATTCACTCTACCACCAAACTTTAAAGTCATCGACTGCAGGGAGCCAGAAGATATCAACCGCAAGAAACCAACTGTTGTATCCGTGGGTGGCGATTGCGAATATGCTGCATTGTCATACGTCTGGGGCAATATAGAAGACGAATTTCCCCAAGTCGTCAAGGACAGCATCAAGGTAGCTCGTCAACTCAACTGCGAATATTTATGGGTCGATCGGCTTGTAGGTTGGATGAATATAGAATGACAGGAGCTAATACTTTGCAGTGCATCAATCAAGACCCCGAAGACCCCAATAAGCAAGAACAGATAAACAAGATGGATGCGATATATTCCCGAGCAATTTTCACGATTATCGACGCCGCTGGAACAAACTGCAATTCCGGCTTGGCCGGCATAACTTTCCCTCGCATATCCAGCCCAAAACAACGATGCGTAGAGGTTGATGGCGTAAAGCTCACCTACGTCGGTACACCTCCCGCAGAAAAGATCCAGTCCAGTATATGGGGTTCTCGTGGTTGGACATATCAGGAAGGCATTCTATCACACAGGCGAATCTTTTTCACCAATGAGCAAGTCCTATTTCAGTGCAATAATATGACGTGTCTCGAATCATTTGCTATTCCCATGGATGTCTTGCACAGACTTGATATCCCCAATACGAAGAAAAAGCCCATCCTTAAGGATACTGAGCCTCTTTTTCTGCCTCTTAAGGAAATTGGGACGCATTTAATGGAGTTTAGTAAGAGAAACCTTAGGCATGACAGAGATGCTCTAGATGCTTTTTCAGGGGTTCTGAACGCCTGTCACAGAGAAGAGGGATATTTCCACTTCCTAGGAAACCCGCTTATTCGTAAAAAGAAGGGTTGGCGTTGGATGATTAATGCTTGGTACCATGTCAAGCCTGGAGCTAGAAAGGCCGATTTCCCTAGCTGGTCTTGGACTGGTTGGAAAGGCGAAATCACGATGACCAGCTATGATACTCCGGACCATGACCTTCGATTGCTCAGGGAAGATGAATGTTCAGTCTCTCTCGATGATTTCAAGACGGCGTACAACACGAACCTTTCACAACTCATGAAACCCGTCATTCAACTAGAAGGGATGATGACAATGATGTCGTTCGAACTCATTAAATGGGGTTCAGAGACAACTCTTCCAAACATGATGTTCAGTCAAACGGTGGTGCAGGATGGCCCTTGGGCTATACTTCCGTTAACAACCGATATTACGTGCTACTCGTTCCTATACTTGGATAACGAAGCACGGACGGGCATTTTCCAACTCAAGCTTCCAATCATGGTGCTGGAGTTTGGGGTCAGTTCGCAGAAACACAACCTTATCATACTGGTGTTGAGGGAAAAGGGTGATCTGTACGAACGAGTTGGAATGGTTAACATACGGGGCGGGTTCGAGTCTAGTAATAAAGCTAGAAAAGCACCAGCAAAGCTAACTATGTACAAAGACAAAAGTGGAAGATGGATGACCCGGGCACCAATATCTAATCCCTGCGATTGTATCTGGCAGAAGGATCTCGAGAAGAAGACTATCGTGTTGCAATAGAACAGGTTATAGGACAATTTCCAAGGCTGGATTTGGGGGCTGGGTCACGCTCGGGAGTTTGAAGATAATTGGTATTAAAGAATTGAAGTCGGTTATTATACTTTATGGAATTTATTGCCATGTTTTAAGTAAGTTTAGGTTAACTAATTAAGGTTCAGGAATACCAAGTGGTACCGTAGTGTGCATAACAAAATCATTCTAACATAGTACTAAGGTTGTATCAATATAACAAAACATGTAGCATAAGACCAGCAAATACAACATGGTTTCTTCAATTGAACCCATGAGACTTAATAAAACTCGCTATGACTTATAATATCGCTCTCTCAAAGCTTTGGGTAACGGCCAAGCCTGGCAATCCTTAAACATCTGAACCGTCTTCTTAAGTGCCTCTTGTTCCCATGAATCGGTGAAGTAGCTCCCGTACATTTGAATAGCTAGGATGGCATTTACGAGACCTGGCTGGGTATCGGGATGTTGGACGGCAGTGCCGCAGACTTGAAGGACTAGGTTTCGCACTTCGCCTTCAGCTTTGCGATATGCGGTGCGTACATCCTCGGCTTGTCTAGAGGGATTAGTGTAAGCATGGGCTCGGGCGTTGGAGGGCTTACGAGAGAAGAGGTGACTCTGCGATGAGAATCATCTTTGCTATCATCATGTGTTGCATGCCTGTGAGCGCGATCGCTGAAGCATACCACATCGTTGGGAACACCTCTCCTAGAACTCGGTCTGGTGGTTGATGAAGAATTGGTTCGAAGCGGCCGGTCACATACTGCTCAAGGTATTCCTCCTGTTCTTTAAGCTTGCCTACCCGTCAAGCCATTAGCACTTGGACCCTATAAGAAGCAAGAGAACACTCACGCCATCCACTCTCCGGCTTGTCGCCAAATAACCATTTTGTGACTTGACTCGTGTGGAAGACGATTCTATTCGCTGGAGATATATCCGACCACTCAGCAGGTGGATCGACCATTTGAGCTGGATATCCTTCCCGAAGAGCATAGTAGACTTCTTGCCGCAAAGCAACCCAGTAAGATGCAATAAGCAGTTCTCGGCGGTTAGCAAGATCATCCGAGGTGAGACTTCGTAGAACAGCGTTCAAGATCGCAAGGAAGTTTACACCCTCATCTGGGCGAGTATCGAGAGCAGGATCTTCATCTTCATCATCTAACTCCTCAAAGTGACGTAGAATCACAGCCGTTGTCACGATGAGTTCTCGGGTCTCTCCGTCCTGTGTAGTGTGAAAGTCTTTGAGGACTGGTATACACTTAAGCATATACTCAACTGCTGAGTGTGAACTAAGATTCGGTAATGGCTGGCCGCGATATACGATTCCTCGAGGTGTCTTGTACTTTTCAACACGGCATAAATGTCGTGCGGACATTGCTAATATGGCATTTAGTAAAGGGGGATATCGCCTGGCTCGTTCCGGAACAACCAGTTGGTATCTTCGCTGCGGATCAACCAGATCGAACTAGACGGTCAGTATCGGCATTCCGACTCAGTGATACCGAACTCACCCAATGGGACAACTCTTCTATGAAATATCGTAAGAGACACGCTTCTTGGACACCTTCCAAGGGCAAGTCTCGTTGATGAGGTGGTTCTAACGCATGCAGTAGGCCGCCCCAAGAAGGACCGCGTTGAGATAGTGCTAGTGGGTGCTGGGACGGTTGAGTTTGAAAGGCTGGCAGGGCTGAAGCCTGAGGGTGCCCGCCACGGGAAGTGGATAGACTTTCTGGAACTGTCGAATTGAAATATGTTGAATCTCCTAGTGCAAAGTCTAGTGTCCTGCCTGATGTTTTGTCGTTGTTTAATGCCGGGCGGCTTGCGATGTTTGTTGATGATGGTGAACCTTCATCGGCTAAAGCGATTCTCTGTGTGGCTCGCCGCGAACTTGTTTGAAGACGAACTTTTCAACAGTTAGCTACTTTTTCTGGGATTCTCATATAACGGGCACTTACACTCTTTGGCACTACTGTTGACCCAATTCTGCGACCCTGAGAACTTGGCGTCGTACTTTGCCGATGAGCCATCTCTGAACTGTCGATTGCGTCCCAGCCGGACACACTCTAGCCCTTTCTTGAGACATCGTGCGCATACAGCATCATCACCAGCACCTAGGACCTCACGTTAGACTTTGAGCTCGGTTTTTCATGGTTTCTGAGTTCTGTTGACGGAAGCAGACAGACATTTGAGGTGTTTGCCTAAAATGGGAAATATGCGTTAGTCATGCGGCTTTGTACTGGACTTCTTACTTACTTTTGCATTCTGTACAAGGGTTTTTAGGTACCTGCATGTCGATACTGCTTGACTAGTGACCTATCTATCTCCAGCATAGAAGAAGAGAGTAGGAATCGCCGAGATTTGACGTGGAGGGCGGGGTTGGCAAATCATCGCCGATACATTCCCGAAATGGTAATCAATCGACGCTAGGTTGAATTTGGATACAGCATCATGTGTAAATAATTCCTTCCATTGATCACAAATATCTAATCAACCGGTAAGAATAAATAGCCGTTATTGGCGTTTCGTTTTAGACGGCATTAGCATTATTTGAGTCTCAGCAGAGTTTTCGTGTACTCGGGGCAAGCTAACGACGTGCAGGTATTGGTTCAGCCGAAAGCCCAAAAGCAGGCTTAGATATCACATCACTCCGCCAGCTTGCATTTAGGAGCTTTCAATTGGACGCCTCTTGGTGATAATTAACTTACATATTGATGCCTAAATCACATTTCCCCGCTCTGGTCACCTTAATGTGGTTATCTTTCTGCTTCCGAAATGCTTTCAGCTTTGCAATTCTATCGCTAAGACTACCTCTCAAAATATCATTACAACCACCAACTCAAGTGTTCAGAACAAATTTGAAGCCTCAGGTCATAGCAGAAAACAAGAAAGGGATAGAACTATCAGTCGTTGGCGGCTGAGAATCACCATGGCCTCTTCACGCGGAAACTCGGACCAGTCAGCTTCCCTCATGTCTCAAGACGGACAGCCCAGTACTGCCGTTGGGTTCTAACAGCAAGGTACAGTAGACTGGACCAGCGTACTGAGTGGGAGCATCACATTCTCTGTCGACGTACTATCACGATTATCACAAGCTGGTATCGAAGGATTCACTCTCTGCGCTGCCAGGGCAATCTTTTCCAACGTCAAGCTGGGTCCAAATGGTGAATTGCGTCTCCACCGAGCCCTCGATAGACTCGGTGCTTTCCCGTCTTTTGGGAAAGCGCTATGGTTTGGTTTCGGGGTGAAGCATATCATATGGAGTATGCAGGAGTCTAAAGAAGGCCTGAACTGTCTTGGAATCTGTGCCTGCTTGACAGAGGGATTCTCCACAATTGACGCTGCAAGGGTTATAAGAGAGCTTTTCCTTCTATATAATCCGCCGGCTGAGCTTACCCCTACGTTGATGCAGTGGGTCGCTCTAGTTGAATCTTCAGGGGGGCTGCTCGCCTCGTCGGAGTTTGGCTTGGTATTACATGGTCTTACGAAGCTTTGCCTGGTAGACGGCCAAACTTGCCGACAGGGTTCAGGATCACCAAAAGACATTGCCTTAGTGTTGAAAGAAGTCTTTGAAGTCTCGGCGGGACGCCTCGACCGTCTTTTCGTGTCGGGTGGAGCAGGTTGCGCTTGGATTGCCTCTATAGCCCATTGGCTTCTGGACCTCCGAGTGGAGGTCCAAGACCAGAATGGCACGATTATCTATCGACCTGACGGCACTCGAAGTGAATCCTCTTCAGATTCTCAGCTTATCATCACTTATTATCGAGGGCATTCAAGCGAGTTGCTTCGAGTTAACAGAAAGTGCTATGTTATTCCTACCGGGGAGGGACTATTCGGTCATTCGGAAGATACATATATCATTTCCTGTGGCCGAGTTTCATGGGAGACCTGTCTGGTTGATACTTTTGGTGGCCCTATGAGGTTCCTTCTGCAGACTCAAGCTCGGAGCGCTGGGGCTTGCTTGGGCTCTGCCGCGCGCATATTTCTGGCTTTCTTGAGAGATGGCGAGGGCCATTCGAAACCTTTAACGGCAGAGGGTTCTTCGCCAATATCAGAATCCAGCTATGGGAGGGGTTTTCATCTACTAGCTCGTCGCCTTCTTCCAGAGCTTGGACAGAACCCAGTATTACACCAGGCGATGGAGGAGGCTATGAACAAAGGATACTTAGACGCTGCGAAACGGTTTACTCAATCTTTTACTTCCTTGGGTCAGCTATGTTCATGCATGGACTGCCGCCCATATGCGGATAATGAGAGACAGTACACCGACTTCTGCTTGCCCACATTGATACTCACTATTTGTACCCTCGTCAGAGTTATGTCGACTATCAACATGCAACAACATCTTGGAGTACAGCCGACACGCTCTGGTTTAGAGAGCCTATACTGGCTTCAGAAAAAGTTTACTACCGGCCTAAGAGACACGGACAACGACCTGGCTGGCATCGACTTACTTGGATACTGGCCTAAGCATACTCTGGTGTTGGCCCAGATACTTTTCACGGGACGACAACATGATAGAGTTTGGGGCAGTCACTCTGTCGTTGCAGTTTCGCACAGTGGGCTTTGTTTCTATCTCAATCCTGTGACGGAGATCACATCTGACCCTCAGAGAGCATGTCTCCTGACCGTTGTTCCTGGTAAGATCGCATGGAACAACTTTATGTACGACATGGTATATGATCAAAACCCAGAAAAGACTTCTACCGGCAAGTCCAGTGGCTACGATGCACTCTCCATGACGGCTATAACGACGTATGACGACCTAGCTGATAGTTCGAGTCATGGTCTCGATGCCGAACTCATTATTGAGGAGGTGTTTCCAGAAAGCGCCAGGCTTTCTGCCATCTACCGGGTTTCAACCCCAGCATTCCCAGGCCGACGTTTCTCGGTAGGGGCTGCAGAAATTTGGGAGTGGCTCAACTATGCTTTCACGGCTGCAAGTTGTGAGGGCAAGACGTGTGAGTCGCTCAATGGGTTCCAATCTCTTCTTGTCGAAGGCGAAGGGTATCTTCTTCCGACACCAGATTGGCGGACGACATGTCTCCCTATCATGCGAGTATTGTCTACAAACGATGTTTCAGTATGGATTGCTCTTACACAACATTATCTTCCGACATCCGTCAATGTGGTCGATGAGAGGCCAGTGTCCTTATTATGTAGGCTACAGGGCAAGCAATGTATTAGGTGTTGCATGGTGAATACAGAAGTCGCAAAGGTGAGTTCAGACCGACGTGATAAGTGTTCTGTATGTATTATCACTTCAGTATAAATTTTGGAACTCGGGGAACATGAGAAGTCATCTCAATGTTGAGAATGTAATGATGGGATGTAGCTTGGTCCAGAGTCTCAATACAGAAATCTTCTCAGTGCACTAGCGAGCATAGACTCCTTTCGCCATTCTGGGCATTGTAGGCGAAGGTCCCGCCGCACACCATAACCCCCACTAAGTCAGCATCCAAATCACTAGCACAAAAGCTTGGCCTTGGAGAACGAGCCAAACAGTACAAGCTCCTCGCCAATAAGGCCCCGCGGACAAACCTCCCTGCTTGCTTCAGCGGGCCCGGTTCGCCTCCCGCAGCCGCGGCCTATCGATCCTTTCCGAGACTAAACCCAATCGAGCAACAATTATAGATTCGCTATCACGACAGTCGATGTCGTTATCAGATATTATCGGGTATCCCACTTGTTTTGCGTATGAGACAATCACATCCCCGTTATTGCGAAACGGGAATTGTGAGTGGTTTCATTGGTCTGAACAGACGATGTGTTTCCTGAAATGGAGGGTTGAGTCGGGGAGGCGCCGGTAGTTTTAAGGTGTTTGTTTAAAGCTGGGAGGATTGACTTGGAGTTCGGCGAATTTGTGGAGGAGAATGGAGAGTGTTGATGGAGATCCTGGAGGATTTATTGGTGAGGTCGTAAGAATCGCTGGGTTGGACATCCACCTCGATACACGGCAGGATGGCTGGTCGTTGTATGGCATTTAGCGTACTCGTCCTGTACAGCTCCCTTATCTAGATTAACAAATTCGCACTTCAAAATTCAAGAAAATGCTTACCAAGTTCCCTCCCCTGCTGCCGAAGTGACACAATGCACTACAACGTTATACAACCCCCGTCCAGACCAACCCATTCCTCGCCACCAACAGTTACCCAAGTCCGCAAACAAGGCTCATCCCGCGCGGAGATCCTGCCTCTTGAGTGGATGTTCTTTTAAGCATACGACTATTCGGATTTACAGGGTGGGATTTCCAACGGGGAGCCCGAGTCTTGGTGCAGTCATGTCAAGATCCCCAAGAATTGTGTCATCCTGCACCACGGTCGCACAGACGATCCATGTTTATATAGCTCAATCTCTCGTCGCACGTTTTACTTCCCCTCATCGGCATACCAATATCTTTATATCGGTCAATTTTCGCGAGTGATCGCATTCTGCTGGTTATCCCTCTTGTCAATCGCGAATCCGGCGCAATGGGCTTCTCAAACTTTTTTGAAAGCCAGAAAACCACGGCTACCGTCTCGGCGGACCCTGAGGCCAGCGACTCTGAGCCTTCGGTCATTCACGAGGGCGATCTCGCGTACACACGCGTCAAGGGCGGCAATGGCTCTAAACCTTCGTACCAAGAAGCCGTCGGTGCACCTGTTGAATCGCACTCGCCGCTTGGATACAACGTCGGTTGGCTTACGGTTATCTTCCTCAATGTTAACATGATGATTGGAACTGGTATCTTTTCTACTCGTACGTATTCTACATTACGCAAGAGGGGTATAAGCGACTAATGATGTGCAGCTTCGAGTATTCTTAACCGTGCTGGGTCTGTCGGCCTGGCGCTGATCATCTGGTTCATCGGCTTCATCATGGCTGCGTCTGGTTTCAGTGTTTACCTGGAATTAGCGAGTTACTTTCCTAATCGCAGCGGTTCAGAGGTTGTGTATCTTGAGCAGGCGTATCCTCGGCCTAAGCACTTCTTCCCTGTCACATTTGCTGTCCAGTCGGTCATTCTGTCGTTCAGCAGTAGCAATGCCGTCGGTAAGTCAATTTCTTCTTTTACCTTTTATATCTCGTGTTCTGATCATATATAGTTCTATCCAAATACCTTTGGCGAATGACCGGCGATACTCCCTCCGAATGGCAGATGCGAGGTGTCGCTATCGCAGCTTATACCCTGGCTGTCATCTTTGTCATCGCGCATAACAAGTACTCCCTCTGGCTCGTCAACTTCATCGGCGCGTTGAAGATCCTCACTCTCGTCTTGTAAGCCCTTCCATTCCTACAAACATTTCACCCCTAACACATCCTACAGCATCAGTATTGCAGGTCTCGTCGTCCTCGGCGGCAACGTCAAGCGCATCCCCGACCCCGGCCATAACTTTCGCGACGCCTTCGCCGGTGCGACCCCCAACGGAAACGATCTAGCCAGTGCCCTCGTCAGTATCGTCTTCTCGTACGCCGGATACTGGAACGCCTTCAACGTTGTCAACGAGATCCAGAACCCTATTCCTACGCTTAAGCGAAACGGTACAGTCTCGCTCACTGTCGTCGCCGTGTTGTACATGCTCTGCAACATCGCATACTTCGCTGTCGTTCCTAAGGAGGAGTTCGCCGAGGCTAGCGAGATTGCCGCATCAGTCTTCTTCACCAAGCTCTTTGGTGATAGCAAGTCTGCTGCCAATGTCCTCAACTTTCTTGTACTGCTGAGTGCCTTTGGCAACCTTCTTGCTGTGTTGATTGGATCTGCTCGTATGCTTCGTGAGATTGGTCGACAGGGCGTTCTGCCTTACACCAACTTCTGGGTCTCAACTAAGCCCTTTGGTACTCCACTTGGTCCTTACGTCCTAAAGTGGGTGTTGACTTTCATCATGATTGTTGCGCCTTCAGCTGGCGATGCTTTCACTTTCGGTAAGGAGCCTGACCCCTCTTGATGTTCTCTGATACTGATCTATTTCATAGTTGTTAGTCTGGGTACATATCCTGATGCCATGTTCAGGTTTGCCATGGTTTTGGGTCTCTATGTGCTCCGGCGTCGTCGGTCAAAGGCCGGTATTGGTCGCTCTGACTTCAGAGCTTGGCATGCTCCTGTAATCTTCTACCTCCTGGTCCAGGTCTTCATCCTCGTCATGCCTTGGTACCCTCCCAAGGGCGGCCCATATGCTGGTGATGTTAGCTTCTGGTATGCCACATACTGTGTCGTCGGTATTGCAATGTGAGTAGCAGTCTGAGAATATCAATATCTTCCAGGTTACTAACAGCCATCTTCAGTGTCCTTGTTTGCGCCCTTTACTATGTTGTTTGGATGTTCCTGTTGCCCAAATGGAAGGGCTATGCTATTCGCACTGAGATCACCAATGTCGATGACAACGGAGCCAACACCCACCGACTGGTCAGAGTTCCTTATGCTGACCTTCCTCGATGGGACGAAGAACATGACGAAGCTGGAAACCTTCGCCAGCGAACAACTGTTGTGGCTCCGAGCTCCGAGGGCTCCATCAAGGCGTAAGTGGTGGTTTGTGAAGGGGTCATAGCATCAGATAGCACTAGGAGAGTCAAGTCTATGAACAGAGATTTTGCATACGAACAAGGTTAAAGTAAAAATGGGTATTATTCGTATTATGTCTATCATCATTATTCTAAGCCGAAAGTGATCTATTCCGCAGCATTGCTAGCGCAAGACCAAGGAGTTTTGCTTCCTCCCTCAGCAATTGCCTCAATAGAAGCCCAGAGTCCAAGGACGCAGATGAGGAAGCCAGTAAGGAAGAGGATAACATTGGCCACAAATCGGCAAGTCTGCTTTCCATCCTTGAACCAGTTTCCGTAGTGCATCCAGAGCCAGAAGATACCAGGCAGCCCATAAGAGAACCACGAGGCAAAGAGGGCGCAGATGAGACCGAGGAGGTTATTGAATACAGGAATAGACTCCGCAATGACCATTGACAGAGCCCAGATGCCGAAAGTGACACCGAACCAAACCATGGTAGACAGCTTTGTTCGGCGGACCATGTGCTTGGTATTGCGGAAGATTCGCTGGAAGATATAGGCCGAAGCGACATGGCCGTAAATAACACCAGCGATGACGATAGTAGGGATGGCAATACCCCAGATGACCTTTCGCATAGTAGCAGAACCAGCGGCAGACAGAGCAGGCGAAGGAACATCAGGTCCGACAAAGACATAGATGACGATGGCGGCGAGGAGGTAGAGAGTAGTGTCGACGATCTGGAGGAAAGCCAGAGCCTTGGGCCAATCCTCGGGCTTCTTGAACTCAGAGATGACAGTGAAGAAGCAAGAGTGGCTGGAGAAGGAGATGGCAATGTTGGTGACGGCCAAGAAAGCGCCGGTAAAGCCGAGCTCACGAGCAACCTCGATGCTTCCAGAGCCAATAGGTCGCTCATGCGCAACATCTCCAACCGTGATGAGCACAGCGAGCGTGATGGACATGCACGAGGCCATGGACATATAACTCGTGTACTTCAACGTACGCGGCAGGTTAAGAACCCAGAAAACCGCCAAGCCAACAACAGCCCAGACAATAGTACACGTAGAACTATTCGTCAGAGTGTTTAGGCAGATAGTCCAAGTGAGAAGATGGCTTCCCATGACGAAAACCTGGAAAATAACCTGCGCCCAACCAAAAACCTCCTGGAAGACACGGCCCATGCCGATGGATTTTCCAATGACTTCGACGGCGTCGCCAAAGTTTTGGACGAAGGGGTATTGCGCGCGGAATTCAGCGAGGACGAGGCCGGAGTAGGTGGACAGGAAGCCCATTACGAGAATGAGGATAATTCCGGGGACGAGGCCGACGGTGGCGAGGACGGAGGGGAGGGAGAGGATGCCGAGGGATACAGTCTCTGCAATGAGGACGATACCGCCTTGCCTGGGAGGAGTCAGTATTGAGAGAGGTGAAGTTGGGGTTGGGAGTGAACATACCACCACGTCAATGTCTTGTAGTCAATGATCTCTGCCTCCTCATCACCCAAGACAGCATCATCATTTCGCGGTTCAGGCACAAAAGCCGGAGGCGCATTGGAAACACCCTTCTCTTGATCCTCGGGCGCCGCAGCGCTTTTAGGTTCTGTATGGCTCATGATGATAGTCGCCCGTTAAGTTAGTGGCGCAAGTGTTGAAGAAAGAAGAGACTCAAAATTGTAAGACCAATTGACGCGACGATAATTGGAACAGCAGTCTTATTTAAATAAATTCCACTCTGGGGCGAGAAATGGCCGACAACGGTGGGAGTGAGAAAATGTCTTCATGTTAGTTTAACTCCCGAGTCAAGTCGGCCCACTAACATTGGAGGTTCTTCGGCCTGGCCCGATGGCGTCGCGCACCGAACTCGGGCAATAGAGAGTGTAGAGACTGTAATGAGCAGTGGGACGGTTACAGTGATCGCGGTTAAAATTAGTCGATCCTTCATTGGGCGAGATCGGCTGATGCTGAGGAAAAAACAAGCAATGGCCAGATCTGTATTGCTTCAATGGATTTGCTAACTTTTACGTTATGGTCCCACAAAGAGTGGTCTCTCCTCACAGAGAAATCCACCGCTCCAGACTCTCTAATTTCCACGTAAGAAAAGGGTTTCCCCAGACCGGAGAACACAGCTAGATTCGCCATCAAAAACTCGCGATAGATGTCGTTATAGAATCGGAAGAGCCTCATCGTAGCCGCGCGCTTCTTTCAGCTCAGAATTTTCAGCCTCCTTCAATCAAGCTACTGCAAGTTTGTTTTGGAGGAATTCGACTGCCGGAGTTTCTAGCCGGCTTCTGGAACGACAAGAGATTTCTAGCGTCGAGGGTCTAAACTAGATTCGGGATGAGTCAGGGCAAAGTGGATATAGGGCGCCGATCGCGCTCCGGACTTGGCGCAGCTTGTGAAGAATTAGAGCTATTACGAATGCCGAAATGTCATATTCGGATTGCTAGGTAAGCAGACCTCCGACAATAGTTACAGAGCACAGAGCTTTGCGATGATGAAGGCTGTCCTACTAGATAAAACTGCTAACAGACCTGCCCAGACAAGGATAATTATGCCATACTGACATTTATCGATAAATATATTATAGCAACCTTATACCTATGGGTTAAGCCATAAATAGAATTTACCATCACTTAGAACAGATTTATAGACTTGTTTACTGACCCGAAAGTGATATACCAAGTTAAGAATATATTATCCTAAGTTTAGTTGATTTTTTAATAAGAAGTCTAAACATTTGGGCATTTAACCTAAAGTTTGCAAATTAACCCTAAGACAGTACTATTTCTTGCCCCTCTTCTGCTTTCCTTTTCCCTTGCGACCAGTATTTCTTGTTCTCAAATAAGTGCCATAGGTCAACGGCCAAGCTCCCTGAGACCGATTCTCGTTCCAAAAAACCGTCATCGCGGCCTCTATCCGCGCTTCCCACCCAGTAGGAATCAAGCCACATTGGACAAAAAGGTAAAATTGATCTCGAACCCAGCCGCCACAACCCCTGCCGTCCTTGGTGAACTCATAACGGTGGTTATCTGCCCGTACAATGGCATCTAGGAACTCGCCTACCGTAAGACCAGGAGCCTGCGGTGAGATGCTAACAGTTTTGTGCGAGACACGTGTCATCCCGTAAGGGTGACGGATAATGTCAAGGCGAGCTAGGTAACCCTCGCGGCCTGGATATGCACCAGGCACTATCTCCAGCCTGACAGAGAGGTCAGGGCCACACTGCAGGAAGATATCCCAATGATTTCCTCCGTTGCGCAAGACAGAATGCGCCACGAAGTGGACCTTGGTGACAACATAGCTGCGAATCTGGCTCTCTGCTGAGTCAGGTGTGTAGCTTAGAGGGTTCAGGTTGTGCATTTCGAAGTTTGTATGGGAAGGCTTCTTTCCGCCTTCGCTTTTAGAGGGAGAACTTGGACCGCAACCCATTATGAAGTTGGAATGTGTTATTGGCTTTCTGAAGGGGATATAAAAGAGTTTGTATGGTGATGTTTGGTAGTGCGAAGAACCACGTTCAATGGCACAGGCAAACCTCACCCTTTTATCTTCATTGAGCCATTGAGAGATGTATGACTACTTCCCCCGTATCTACCTGGGTTGGCGCGCGCTTCGTTCAGAGCTTCGACATATATGTCTCAGACGAATCACCCGAGAAATCTTTCTGTACGGGCCACTAATTACATGCATCACACGACAAACTAAACCCTCCTGTCGAGGGCAAACTCAAGCTCTTGGACGGCCGATCTCAGGCCTGAAGGGCCAACAGCTCAACACCATACGTAGAAGGACAAACCGGAAACATTTTTCAAAAGATCGCTAGAGCTACCTGTAACACGGCGTCTAAATGGCAGCGCTTAAATGTGATAAGTTGTAACCGCTTATCACAATGCTTCTATTAATAAGATTGGTCCAACAAAATGACTGTTGGTTCAGTGTTCAAAGTCAAAATTAGGTCAACATGGATGCCTGCCTAAAGCATCCTGATCCTATTGGCTATGTGTTACCCGACATTTACCCGACATCTGATGCCACGCGGTGAATGCCTCGCGGCCGACTTGGAACACGCAACAATTTCACGAAATTCGGAGGCTTTCGCAGACTTCTCTAAGAACCCTTACCTCAACCGCTGTGAACCCCTATACCTCACTATCTCCTGTACGATATTATGGGCTGTTCCTTGTCGAAAACTCCTAAAACAGAGTCTCGTAACGAAAATCCTCCGCAGGAGGATCCTGAGCAAGGCGACGAACAAGGTTTCCCGCTACCATACCAAGATGTGAGTTGAGAAAGTGATTTGGGGTACCGAATCTATGTTGCTAATGTAGAAAATAGCCCAGAGCGCTTGACGATGATAATGCATTCCCTCTCGATGAAAGTGACATCTCCTCTGTCTCTGATGAGGAGCTTCTGTCAGCTTACTTGAAGGCGCCTCAACTTCATCATTATGGTGCTGTCACAATATCGCGTATTTCCAAACATCTTGCCATCAAAGGTGGCCCAGGCGTGCCAAAGAGCGAAGCAGAAAATATGAAGTTTGCTTCCGAAACGCTGCAGCTTCCAGTCCCCAAGGTCCATCGCACTTTCACAGCCGAAATTCCAGAGTTCGCAGGGATGCCTAACACAAGCCTTATTGAGGGCCATTTCATTGTCATGGACTATATCCAGGGATCGTCTCTTGACAAGAGCTGGCAGACATTCGACTTGACTACCAAAGAAACTGTCGCACAGCAGGTCGCGGAAGTGATCAACAAGATGCAATCTACCGTCCTTAATCACATACCTGTAGGACCGATCGGGAGATCGCAGGACGAAAAGTCCCAAGGCCCGTGGTTCACAGACTACGGTGCAGGGCCTTTTGACACGCTGAAAGATCTTGAAGACTGGTGCAATCACAAGATTGATATCTGTGTCATGGTTAAGCAACTACCGCCCGATACTACGAAATTCGAGTTCAAAGACATAGTCCTTACCCACCAAGACCTGGCACCGAGAAACTTAGTTGTCGACAAAGATATGAAGTTATGGGTCCTTGACTGGGGCTGCGCTGGCGTGTACCCGAAAGGATTTGAACAAGCTGCGCTGCAGGTCCAGGCATGGAACGAGGAATATGCTGAAATGGTGCTGGAGAGACTTTCAGACCGACAAGCGTTCATGATTGGTAAACTAGCTGATATCGCGTATGGGCTTTCGACTGGTCGTGCTCTTTGAGACAAAAACGATCGAGCCAGTTGCTTTATAGCAAACAGATAATGAACGCGTGAAAATATAACTAGTTACTTATCACTCAATTAAGCCGCCGTTGATCTAACGAAAAGAGTAGGAACTAACAGAGATCCGGGCCCCGATTTCGCTGCGGACTTGTATGAATCTGGGCATTATCATGCGATCGAGTGGAGTTCCAATGTAGGGTTCTCGGGGAAGCTAGAAGAACTCCAGAAATCAGATTTGGCCGAGACCGACGACCCATTGTCTGTGCTGACAATGAGATGGAGACGACGTGGGGCCAACATTGAAGCCGATCACGGCAGTCGCCGCCTCTATACCCAGTTGACCAAGCTGCAGAGTCGGAGATTTTCAGAAAGCTTGAATGCAGAGCCAAGACTTGCCCAACTTCAATAGGTCCCATGTTCGTTTGATAAGGCCGCTTAACCCAAGCTTGTGCTATATAGTACTAGTCAGTGATTTTCGACCATCTACTGACCCTGCTGGACGGTAATGAGTTGTGATTGGAAAGGAAAGATTGCACAATTAATTCACGATGCACAAATCGCATTCATGAAGCACCGGTCTCGGACTATGATAAGTTGTAACGAATGTCCATTTATACTATGTTGGCTTAATGTTCTCCTTGCCTTGATGCTATATTGGTAATCACGATCTCCAGGGCTTTGACTAGTATAATATTTACAGATCATCATCACCAGTCTTCTTGCAGCAGGTCCAGCAAGGGTAGTCAGAATCTCCCTAGAAACTGTTAGTAATAAACTCATTACCATCACTAATAGGTGGCATACAAATTTCTTGGGGTTCTAGTCAAATAGTTAGCATAATCAACAGAGCGTAGACTTTAGGATCACTTACCCAGCCCTCGGGGCATGTTGGCTCCTCAGGCCAGCAGACCTTGAGGCACACCTCGTAGTTGTGGACGTTGACGACGCCCTTGTGGTTGGGGGTGACGGCATGGTTGGAAGAGGACTGGGAGACCTGGATGCGGAGGCTATGGACGAAAGGTTAGTATGGAGGTAACTGAGTAGGATGGACTGGGATGGGACCTACGTGATCTCCTCGCCGTTGGACTGCTTGGCGCTGAGGGAAGACCAAGGCATGGCAGCGATGCCGTTGGCAAGGAGGAGAGTGGAGGCGATGGAGAACTTCATGTTGATGGGTTGAAAGTAAAGTGAAGTAATGTGATGTAGTTGTGTAGTGTAAAGCGAAACTGTTGATGAGGATGAGATGGCAGAACGGGCGGGCAGAAGCTCAACCTTTATAGATTTTCCTTCCACCCAAAGCTCACCCATCATCCCACTTCTTGAGTCCATGAATATGTGCTGTGCTACACGTTACCCCTCATCAACAATCAGCTACGTCTGAACCTTCCTTGATTTACTTACCGATGGTCCGCCTGTCTTACAAGTTCTGTCATAGGAAAGGTTCCCGAAGCGTCGATCATCATGCAAGGAGGATGGAAGGCGATTTACTAAAGGCGGCATGGGATGGTGGCGGCTTGATCCCTGTTGCAAGACATAAATACGAGCGATTGACGATCCGGTCTCACTTGTGTATAACCTCCCGATGGCCCTTGGCTTTTGGTGTTGTCGGACAGTCGCAGCTGGGTGTACGTGACGTTTTGCGGAAGTAAGACCTTTGACTAGGTACCTACATATCTCATCTTGTTAGGTAGTTGAATATTGTTTCTAGATATTGCTTGAGTCACTTGGAAAGAATTACCTTAGATCTGCGCACTTATCAAACAGATCATTGTAGCTCACAAAGCTCAGCTCCAAGCAATGTCTAAATTTCAACAAAACACTCCGAGTAGTGCAGTAAGTAGCTGCCCACGCAATGCCTAGAAGTGTGTACTTATCTCATCTAACAGTCATGTTGTATGACTGACAATTTATTCTAGCGAACGAAAGATGTTGATATTGATGGTGATCAGTTCAACAATCTGTTTTGAAACCTGAGCTTTATGAACTTAACCTGACTAACGAGTATAACTGCCGTTAGGCTTGCAAATGCTCCGTGGTTTCCTCATTGCAAGCGGTTCCAGGGTAACACTTGTCCGCTGTTCAGTGATCCGTCTGTACGACGGCTGAGCAGGACGTTTATCATACTACATCGTTCAGTGTGTCTTGACTACTCATGCCCTGTTTCACTGCATTGGTGTCGAAAGCCCATTGTCGTATTAATTCCACTGCCATCTACTCCCAAGGCTCCAAGTTTTCTGTGCTGGTATGCTCTAAGCCCTAAGTCGCAATTGCAAACAATACATCTACCCCGCATGGTTGCAAGAGACACACAGTCATGGAAGAGCTAGCTGTATGATATTTGACTTGCCTGTCTTACCGAATCATTTTTGATATATCTCTGCCCAGGAGCTTTCTTTCCTCCGCCTCCCCGGGATCCCACTCCAGGTAATCTGTATATGTTTTGAAGAGCTCGTATGCCATAGTTTCTAGGGTTATCCGAGACCCAGACCCCAAGAATCTAATATGGGGTCTGCCTGGATTCTCGAATTCTGATAATGATTGGCTAAAGGTCGATTTTTGAACATTCAAATCAAGTCTAAGAAACATATTGATCTCATCCTTTGACTGGAAGACGGCTAGGACCAATCAACTTCTCCATACAATGATGTGGCACGATTGGAATGTCCCGTTACACGCAGCAGAAGCACCAATACCCGGTACATTGTCTCTTCGGGCCGTCGGACAAGTAAGAGCACTGTGTATCCCGTGTCTCACCTACCCTGCCACTATGCAAAGCGCTCCGTTCGGCATTGCAGTCATAAGATATCAGCGCTTATGCAGGGATATATTGAAATCTATGACACAACTCTATGCGGGTCGGGGACTTTTGCTCAGCTGAATGCCTCGGTGAGGCGAGAGAAGAATGCTAATGCAAGGAGGCCCGTGGTTCAGACTCGAGATAGCCAACTTTAAGGATTGGAGCTGAAGCGTGTCTGAGACATAATTGGCCACTAATCGAGGCCCGATCCTTTTAGGCTATCGAACGACAAGACTTGTAGGGCTCATTGCTTTCGTGCTCGAAATCCCTCGGGAGACAAACTTCTTGACCGATCGCGCTCTCTTTCCATCCTTTCTTCAGAAGCTTTAATCTTATTGCCAGTTTCAGGATCCCATATCCAGCCCTCCTTCAGCCACATCCATCGCAAATAAGCCCTCAGCTCTTTGTCAAGTGGCACGACCCTCTTCCACTCGGGCTCAAACCCCCGCACTGCATTCAAGCCATTCCAATCATCGGCTAAACCCCTCAGCATGTCTCGGTGGAAGATCCGATAGCTATCAATCGCGTACGGACCAAGGGACGGCAAATGCGCCACCTCCCAGCCCTGTCTCACATCATCTTCACCCAAGACTTCATCTTTGCCAATACCTAAACCATCTCCCTGCAGGGGGTAATGCAGTTTTCTGTACCGCCTTGATTTATGGGGTGGTTTGTCAAGCCATGTCTTGGCAAAGGCGATGAACCGAGCGGCACGGGAGTTGTAGAGTCCTATTGGACGGATGAGATCTGCGAGATCGGAGAAACTTGCTTCTGCGAGGTGGGTTGGCGTTGGGTACTGAGATATGAGCTCTTGGAAAACTGGGCGGGCTTGAGATCCTCGAGTCCTGTTCCAGAGAACGGCTGCAACGAGGAGTTGGTACAGATTTGTTCCGACGGTTTCTTGGATCAGACCGAAACGCTCTTTGGAGATTGGAGGGATTCGAGATGCCGAGAGTACGACTCCAGAGGGTGGTTTTCGTGGTGTTGTCTTACGTTTCTCAGTTTTGATGGGGTTTGTGCCACTCAGATCGGTTCTGACCATGGAGCGTGTAACACGTCGATGAGTCTGTAATATGAGGGTATCGGTTTGGTTCTCCATAGCTGCAATTATAAAAATGGCACAAATGGCATCTAAACATGCAGGTTATTTCATAAAATGTTCAGTCTACTCAAGAGAAAAGGGAAAAGAATTGAATATTAAGATCACATGCTGCTAGGTCCATGACGCAATGGACATCTGCCGGGACGTATCCCCCGCAGTGCGCACTGAAGAACGAAGCCAGCCACCAGGTGAGACAAACAAGCAGTCTCTGTTTAACGTAGATCATTTCAATCATGGATCACGTGTAACAATATGAAAGCATTATTGGAATTTTGTGCACTGTTGTAAGCATTACTAAGTCGTAGTTAACACTGTATTCCCACAAACTTTGTGTTCGTAACAGTCCCACTAATTTCATAAATCTTATGACTGTATTCATCAATTATGAATACACTAGACTATGAATCTAGGTCTTGGTAAATCTCAAGTAAGTCTTGACCTCCTTGATATCACGAAACTTGTTCGCATCCTCCATCGAAACAGAAGACGGAATAATAACATCCTTCTTATCTACAGTCTGAAGTAAACCAATAACCCACAGTACCTCGACTGATTTACGACCAATTGAAGCAGGATGCATCATCGTAAGCGGAATGGTCTTGGAAGGTTCGATAACAAAGGCTGGGCGAATGGTGAAGTCGATGCCCTAAGAAACGTTGGAAATCAACTACCAGTCCAATCGTCTTGACTCATCTCTTGTCAGATCGAGGCTTCAGCTTTGCAAATGCACCAAGCTCAGTGGTGCAGACCGGAGTGAAGTCTGTAGGGTGAGAGAATAGAATCGTCCAGCTGTTGCCGATGAAGTTGCAAAAGTCAATCTCTTTGTGAGTAGTGAGCGCCTTAAAGCTGGAGGCTACCATAATGTCAGTGCATGACCTTTCACGATTGGCAGGCGTCTATATAATACCAGCTGATCCTAATTACAGGTGAGGCGGTTCTTAAATTATCGTCGTAAAGAATCTGCGCGCTATGGGCTGGCCTAGAGGCCGTATGATAACCGGAGCTTAATTGGGCTTCCTTGGGAGGTCGCTGATGCTTTGAATACTCTGAGTATTTAGATACTTGCTCAATGAAAAAGGATGATCCGATTGAGAAAGCATCTGAATGATTATGTTGGCATTACGTCGCCTTTGAACACATTTAAGGAGTAGTTCAAGGTCAGTAGAAGGTCTTCTTACCGTTGACTGTTGCTCTACATGCTGCTTCTACGATGGTATCCTATTCCAGAGTTTCCTCGTTGGATTACTAGTTCCTGTTATGAAGTGGACGCATGCCTCTGGACGAGTGCCGTCAAGCTTTTCATGTTCCTTGTAACGCCAAATATATCAAGAAAAGCGCACAGAGAGACAAGAAAACCGACCAACCTTAACTCTTGATGCTATGGAAGTCGTTCTTCTAACGAATATCCCCACAAGTTTGAAGTGAGTCTCTTCTCGTCGCTATCGATATGCATAAAGCTCAGCCGTTCCTGTCGAGGCAGGCTACATATAAGGCGCTTGATTGTAAGTCAGGTCAATCAACTCAAGATAATCTCTCATTAACTGACCGATTTGATACCTCCTCTTATTGAACTGGCTCAAAGGCTGCCAGCGTATTTGTGCAGACTAGGGTGGATTCCGCACGTGAGAGAAAAGAAGTATTCAGCTGTTCTTGGAGGGCTGACGAACGTCAATTCATTCACCAATGATAAGGGGCCATGACTCTGCCAAGGCGGCAAAGTCTTGGTATTGCCTAATGAACTGAAAATTGACCTGCCTGTTTAGATTGCATGTTCCCATTTACAATCACATATGCCTCCAAGCCCCCTACCTTTTATGTAGAACCCGAGACGTCAATAATGATTCGCAACCTCTTTCATACGAGCCTGCTGCATTTAGAATGGCCTACGTTCAAAACTAGAACGAGAAAACACGGAAAAAGATCTATGATGGAAAAGGCACTTGGCTTTAGGCAGAGAAACGAGAGAGGGCGTTACAGAAATTAACGCGTGAGCACATGTGATTCTGGAGCTGAAATGTCGTGTAACACACCCTCAGCCTTTTGAGACATAATAACATCACAAATGGAACAGTAATTTCCGAGAACCAAAAAGGGATCCCCTATTACCAGTCTACCTATATAAGGACGTTCCAGCGTCATTATGGTTCCTGTGCGTTTTCTGACCCGTGAAAAAAGTCACTGATTTTGTCTTTGTCTATTGAATCGTTCATCATGTCGTCGCTCAGCTGGTCCCGGATGCTTCTCCTCCTCCCCGCAATGGCGATTTCGGTTGCAGCACTGCCACAAGCCCCAGCCACTGCTGAGCCGATTGTTACTCCCGTTGAGTGTCCTCGCCATAACCCTAAAGTCCAGGACGGGTCAGTATACCCGGTAGTTGTTTTTTAGTCGGCCACCTCAAATACTTACCTGCCAACAAGAACTCTCGTCGACCAGCTCTGGACACAGAACTGTGATCTCGTGACAAAGTTTCTCAACAATGCATTCACCACTGCCCAAGCGGCACAAACCTCCCAAGGGACTCTAGAGTCACTGCAATACTATTTCGTTGTCCGTATCTCCGTTTTCCGTTGACCTGCATTCGCTAAAATTGTTGCAGCAAGATTATTACTATCTCACTTTGACAGTCCCTCACAAAGCATATCTCTTGAAATCCTTGGATCCAGATGAATCTGCCGCTGATCAAGCATCCGCCATCAATGAGACGGTTCTGGATATGACTGGGGACCTCGAATACGCAAGCAGTTTTCGCGAGGACCTTACAAGTCCTGATCATCTCAATGTCAGCAGCAGCGTCGTCAAGAACGCGAAGCTCGAGCCCGTTCTACGAGAATATGTCGATTGGCTAGGAGACAATACGAATCTAGGCTGGTACCTCTGGAGCATATCAAGACTCCCCTGTATCTATGTGAGAAGTCTACATCGGAGGTGTCAACTTATACTAACGCGTTCAGGGATGGGCTGAAATTGCGTATCAGCTGAATCAATCGTCTACCACAGTGAGAGGTCGGTACAGGAGCTACATTTTAGGAAAACATGGACTGATATTGTCAAGACTCAAAATTCTTCGACGAGTGGATTTCTCCAAATCTTGAATGGAGATATGGAGCCAAGCTGTCTGGTAAAATACGAGTAGCCCGCCCTGGTGATTACCTGACTGACTGTGAGTAGTTGAGTTACAGGAAGTGTTGATCGCCAACAACAACACTGAGACATTTGCTGTTGCCAATGGGCTCTTCCGCAAGGCCCTGGAATACGAGACTGCCTTTTTTGAGAGTGCACTAGGAAAGGCTCCTCTAAAATAAAAGGCCTTTTGGTTTTGAGGACTTTTTGTGCTTCAATGCGCCTTGAGGCATGGCAGCAATTTTATATACATTTTGCTTTGGTTGCATGTGAGGTTTGTGCTTTGCGTCTGTGAACCTGGCAAGTGGCATTGTCTGACTGTTGCTTGATATGATGGTATTGCTAGCTTATCTGAGGCATACAACAATTATGAGAGTGCTCTTTTGACTGGATAGATCCGACTGCCGATGCTTACAGCACTTACCTTGCTCATTACTTGTAGAAGCAGTATTCCCTGAGCTCAGGAACCTAACTGACCTTTTTTCTATGCTGTTAGGTGGATGGGTGCGTCGGCATAGCCAAGGATGTAGTGGCGTTGAAGATAGGGATATCGAAGCGATGGCTCAGTATTGTTGTGCTTGTGTCAACCTGACTTATATACCTGTCGGCTGGAGGCGGCAGAAACACTAACTCATATATCTCGGAGTTCTTGGACGCTGTGTAGAAGTCATTAGAAGCACCGGAAACGTAGACCCATGATCGTTCGTTGAGGCAAAATCTTGCAGCATCTTCAAAGTCTTGCAGGCTGATGATGGATTCAAGTTATGGGGGATTTCTGATGAGCTTGGGGTTATCACAAGAAATAAATAAAGAGATAAAGAAATGAAAAGTTAAATAATAGTTAAGGTATCGTAAGAACCAGCATATATCATATACCTATTAGTCTAACTAATATATATATATTCTATTCTATTAGCAGCATTGGCACTTTACACGTTAGCTTATGCTTAATGCTTAAAATTGATCAGACTTACAGTAACAGTTCCAGAATCAGAGCCCTGGTCAGCCACTGAGTTACAATTAGAAGCTGTTCCCTGTGAGCCGCATACTTGACCAGCAGCAGGCATACTGGAGCAGAGTGAAAAAGGAGACTTGTATATCCTATAAGCTAGAGCATCTCAAGATGAATCGCTGCGTGTACTTACGCAAATGGCAGATCGTTGCTTGCAATTCTGGGCAGAGACGGAAACGAAGGCTGTTGCCATGATCAAGATACCAGATGGCCGCATGGTGAGATGACTAAGTTCAAGCTTCAGGGACTGGCGATTTACTGTGTGTGGTTTCTTTTGTGTTGAGACTTGGGTTGCCAGGACTGAGGTATAAATACTGTTCCCTACTCAGAGCTTACAGCCTTTTCCAGAGTTGTATCATGACGGGCCCAGTCACCAAAGTTAAAACTGATCATTTACCCTCGCGGGTAAAAAGTATCAAACGACAAAACTTAGAAATACGGATCCGGTGGTCGGGTTTTCATTTCCGTCGCCAGGATTGCGCGTCAAGGCTCGTATTAATGGAAATGGGACTTTTTGCATTGATATACTTTCAACAGACCCTGGGAAAGTTAGCTCGTGGAAACTATTCTCTATGTAGTATAAACTTTCAAACTTGCGAGGTTAGAATAGAAGTGATAAAGGTCGCCGTCTCGCTGATGTCTGGTATATAGTTAATGAGATCATTATGGATATAACTCAGGCACTACCGCATCTACCTCCTCCTCTGATTCAGTGGTCTATACAAAAGGGTTCGAGAAATTGTCAAGCTGTACAGAGCCGATCAGGTTATAGCAGCCACATAAGTTGTAGCAATATAATAAAGTAGCCAATAGAAAGTTTTATAATGCAGTTTTTATGACTGGGAGTATTCTTCGCTCTTTCCAATTCTCACTTCTTCCCGCCGGCCTAATCCAACACCTCTATCTCCTCTCCGGCACTTACACATCCCTAACTACTGCTGGTACTATGCCAGCACCAGCTAATTGATTATCTTGCTGACAAGATAGTGACCCATTGACTCTGTGCTCTGCTTGGGGTTTCGGGCGGCCCTCGACACTTGAGAAGTTGCTTTTGCCCGCGGCATCCCTTGAACCTTCTCCACCGGCTGCGTCCTGCTCTGAGCGAGCCATCATCAAGCGCTTTTTATTTCGTTGCTCAAGAAGCATCAGTTGCATCTGGTAGTCTCTCAGAACATGCTTCGAATCTCTCGCTGGCAGACAAGATGGTGGATCATCAACTCTCTGTCCCGTTTGGGGTTTAGGGCGCTTTTCGTTTTGTTGCTCGAGAAGCATCACCTGCATCTGGATGTCCCTCAGAACATGCTTCGGATCTCTCGCTGGCATAAGAATGCCGTTCCTTGGTGGACTGATTGTGGGCATCTGAACTTGCAGACCTTGCAACCTATGTACGTCAGTCTGCTGAACCATTGGCGCAATAACTGCCGCAGCTAAGGACTTCGACAATGCATATCTCCTAGATGGAATGCGATAGGAGAGCTTAGACTTACTGTTGAAGCTGCAGTTCGGTATTTGCTGTGAAATGTGGAACTCCGCCTCCAGTAACCCTGTAATCTTGTGGAGTTGCGCCTAAATGCTGCACAACCTTCCCAGTCTCCCCAGCGGAAATACTCCCAACAGGGGGAGAATCAGAAGGTTCGGAGCTGTGGAGCATTTGGCCACCGTGTAGAATCCTTTCGTTACGCCATTCTACAACCGGCTGTGCCTCCAACATCCTTGTCCTCTGAATTTGTTTCTCCTTGACTCTTCTGTTCTGGAACCAGTTCTTTGCAAGGGTTAGCGTTCGAAACAAGACGGGCAGGTACAGACTCACGTTTATCCTCGGCTTATCCACCTGCAGAAGATCCGCGATTTCACTCTTTCTTTGATGATTTGGCTTCGGGGTTTTCTGGAACTCTGCTTCAAGGAACTCGGTTTCACTCTTTGTCAAGCGAGGCTTGGAGACCGGATGGTGCGAAAGCGTCGTAGAGGTTGAGTCGTCCATCATATCTGGTTTACTAGTAGCAGAGTCCCGAGAATCTTCCATATGAGCCTTAATTTGCGTTCCGCTATGGGGTTCCGGTTGTAGCAATAGTGTATAATGGGCATTTCCATCTGGTTTACCAGGCTCCCCATCATCATAAATGTAGTTTTCCTCTCTATTCTCGCCTGCTTGAGAATTTTCTAGTTTCCTAAGAGTAGCTGGCTGCTTTCGAGCCCCCGGAGACAGCGAAGATGTGTCGTCTAAGCTACTGCGGGCCGACTTGACTAATTCCTGGCGTTGTGTCCCCTTGGGATCTAGGCCACGCTGCTCTTTCGTTTCAGCACATATACCAGGATTAGCTGCTTCAGGCCCGGTATTTAGAAGTCGAAACGTCGGCTTTTGTTGCTTCGATATGAATGCCGACACCGGCTTCATGGGGAGTCGAATCATGTTCATATCCACACCCAGCCATCTGAGGAGCAATATTGCTCCACCAACAAGGAAAAGGACGATAGCGGCCGCTGGCGGGTACCACACTGCGGAAATCTGAAACTTTGTCATACCGAAGACGCTCTACGATTGATTAGAAAGTTGCTGACATAGCGGGTAGTCTTCACTTACTGCCACGAAAGATAGAGGAAGGAAGATAGTGGCTAGGACATTTAGCATCGCTGTTGCTTGGCCTTGAGCTATCGCTTGAGTGTTGAAAGCCTGTTGTGGGTCAGTATCGAGGTCAGCCGTCTGTTAACAAGTGAGATCTGTTCATGTAGGCCTACCAGACTGAGGAGGTTTTCCAGTTGACGGAGGATGACCTCAGAAGTCTCGAGCTGATGTTCTAGATTCTGCTGGGAGTCTTGCAGTCGAATCTCCAGCTCGGCAAGCAGCTCGAGCAGCTCAGTACTCTCCTTCAACTCGACATTGTCCATGGGCTGTCCTTCTTTCCGCCTTCTCCCCGTGAGGCTTCGCATCTTGTTAATGCGGGCCATCTTGCTATTCGGGAACATTCTTCGCAGGATTTGGCTGTACTTTGCATAGGCTGCGATGAACAAACGTAGGTCTTCCCGGAGGGCGATGACATTGGCCATGTCTTGATGGATGATGCGTGTCGTGCCAAGGTCAGCGACGGCATTGGCGCTGGAATACATAGAAGCATGTCGCTGGGCGAGTTCACGCCGCGCATTGGTCCATATGGTTGGCCACCCTGAGAAGGTAGCAGCAAGATCAAGGAACGCCCATTGCTCAAACTTGGCGAGACGATCTTGTCGTCGCCCGATAGACCAGAACTCGCCCATCTTCTCTGGTACGCATTCGTGAAAGCTGATCGTCACGACAATAGCAATCCTTTGAGTATCTTGTTGACTTCCAGTTATTGGTCGTTCTACAGATGAACACCAGCCGAGAATGGGAAGGAACTTAACCTGTGCGGGAGTGATGTCGTCCTTGGGTCCGCCCTGACTGTGGCTTGCTGCTTGAACTTGTGGATAATTCGCAAGAAATGCCACGGCTATAATGACGATGGACACATCCGTCAGCCTCAATAATCAATCCACTTAAAATGGCCCTGTAGTTACTCAAGTACTTACATCTCTCGTCGGTGGTGTTTGGGAGAATAACCGTACCTCGTCCCCATGTGCTTGATTCGTAAATATCCGCCAAAAGGTGGATGGGAAAGTTGGGGAAGCACCCCAGCAGCTGGATTTCAAAGCCGCGATCATATTCATGGGTGCCTAAGGCAATATTGCTACAAGAAGGAGGACATTCATTAGATGTCTCATAATGCTACAATAGGGGTGATAAAGTTGATCTCGACGTACAGTATCACGGGGCGATTCGCCTGAGCAGCCAGATCGTACAGCCTGTCTATGTAACCAGGGGTACTTAGCGGACTAATGCCATGCGTCCCCATCTCTTCTCCAAACCTATTTGGTAGTTCGGGGTTACTCATGTTTGTCCAAACCCTAACACTCCGTGAGCCAGTCAGCGACGGAGAGAATTGCGCTTTGTCCATGGCCGGTACAGAGGACTATGTTAGTAAGGATGTCGTTGTTATGGGAATTGAATGCAGAGGAACGACATCAACAGCAGTATGAGTAGAGTAGCTTAAAGATGAAGTTTTGGCTTGGTGGGTGTGATGAGTGGAAGTTCTTCATTTTGCCCCGTAGTCAGCCTGAGAGGCTTGGCTGCCTGAGGCGGGCCAAAATCCCACTGCGTGTTTCGCTTGCGCCTGTAAATGTGTATTGTAAATGTACTGATAGTGCGACTTTGGCTGCATTAGTGCAGTCAAAGCTGGCCTCCGATTCGATGTTTCCCGCCAACATTGCTCAGCCGCACTGCATGATGAGAACAACCCCATAACTCGCCGTAGTCGGGCGGAACAGGCTGGGATACAAGGTTATCTAAGGCATTTTAGCTGTAATTTGAAGTCAGCGCTTCCTGATAGACACTCATTGGTCGAGGTCTCTGCAGAGGGCGGCTAAAGGGTCTACAAGGGTACGGCAGCTGAAAGAGTAATAATATTACCAAAGTCCCCTCCCGAATCTTCTTCTGTAATAAAGAGCTTCTACTTTCTTTTCTCCAATAACCTGCGCCTGAATCTTGTTTTATCAAGATTGTCCAACTTCCACCCGACTTACCGTGCATATCTCTATGACGCGATATCCTTCTATTTTCTTGGCAACCTGATAATCATGTGGCTCATCAATACCAAAACCTACAAATTGGAGAACTTCGTTAATCCGCCATGTACCTACTCCATTCTGTCTCACACGTGGGAAGGAGACGAAGTTCTTTTTCAAGACATGGAGAGCCTACCTCACGCACGAAGCAAGACAGGATGGAAAAAGATAGAAATGACCTGCGAAGCATCTCGACAAGCCAATATCTCTCACAGCTGGATTGATACCTGTTGCATCGATAAAAGAAGTAGCGCTGAGCTGAGCGAGGCTATCAACTCCATGTTTGCGTGGTATAAGCAGTCTTCGGTATGCTACGTTTACCTCTCCGACTTGGTCTTCCCGCGCTCGCCGGTTGACACGGACATCCCTAAGTCATATGCAGCTGTGGCTTTTTCTAAACTCGAAGATGAACTCAAGACTTGTCGATGGTTCACTAGAGGTTGGACTCTTCAAGAGTTGATTGCCCCCGGCCAGGTTATGTTTCACGACCAAAATTGGAATCGCATCGGGTCAAGGGCTCCAGGATCCGACGTTCGATTCATCAAGGTCCTAGAAGAGCTGACAGGCATACCAAGTCCAGTACTGGAATACAAGACAGATATTGCCACCATCCCGGTTGCACAAAGAATGTCTTGGGCGGCCAGTAGAGAAACGACCCGGATTGAAGACATTGCCTATTGTCTTCTGGGGATTTTCGATGTCAATATGCCTCTTCTCTACGGAGAAGGTTCAAAGTCCTTTTTTCGGCTACAGGAAGAAATTGTAAAGAACCACGACGATCTCAGTCTTTTTGCGTGGAAGCAAGATGCCGCATCGTACGGCATCGGTGTACTTCGAGGGTGCTTTGCGAATTCACCTGCTGAGTTCGCCCACTGGCTGAACACTCATATCGAGGTGAATGGTTTCGAATCTGGCATGGAAGTCACCAGCAAAAATGTCAAGTTGGACGGTCGAGTCCTCAAACATGAAGACTACCCAGCAGGCATTGGGCACGGTGTGGATTGTATATTTGACTTGGGTGTAAAGGACCCTGATGATGATTATTATTCTCTTGGAATCTTTTTAGCGAGCTCAAGCCGGGGTATCACTCACTTTCGATTCAAGCCCTATGAACTAATTAAGTTACCACCAAGCAAAGTCTTGCTTCACAAAGATAACTACTATGACGATTACCACTCTCAAAATATCTATTGGGAAGAGAAACAGGCGCGAGAAGAGTTGGAGCGAAAATCTATCTCTATCAGAAAATCTATTGCAGTACAGGAAACTCGCATGATGGGTCATCATCAAAAGCCTGTATTCAAGATCCATTGGAACAAAGACGTCTTGAAGGTCCTCAAGTCTGTCAATGGCCAGAACACCAAGGAGTATATACCTTCTTTTGAATGTCACCCAAGTTCTGCGTCACACGAAGATGGGACACTTATATGGGTCACCGATTTTGAGCTGCAAATTTACCCTGAACACCGCGTCTCATTTGTGCTTGTGAACGGACTACATTTGGAATCCCATGATTATCGGCCAGCAACTGGCTTCGGTCAGGCAAAACTGCCCCGTCCAGTCTTCTGGGCATTTCTGCTCGGTGAAGGGCGAGCTTACGTTACAAGCGAAAGAGAGGACTGTGATGACCAACCAACTGTAGTTGAGATACTAGATGAAATCGATGAGGATATTTCTGAGATAGTGAGGCAGATCAAGCGGATGGATCACCGTGAGAGAGGAATATTTGTCCGCGAAAGTTTGTTGGAACGTCACGGTGATGAAGTGGGACACTTGTTTGATAAAGGTCTGGCTAGGCTCGTAAGGGTTCTTTCGCCTCTTGACGGGATTTTACCTAGTTGCGATGTATGGATAGAAACTGAGCATAACCTCTTGGATGATTATGGGGAGCTTCAAATCAACATTGGGCCATGCCATAAATCATGATGACAGGCGGACATACTTGGGAAAGTCATTTATCGGAAGCGCTATCCAAACGGATCTCACGTCTATGTTAATTGATGATTTTCTCAAAATGAGAGCCGTGGTAATCCCTAGCTATTGACAGATTTATATCTAAATAAAGGATTTCAAGCGGTCAAAGCGGCGGCTTTATGCTTAATGGCTTAGATAAAAGAATGGGTCCGTGTCTTGATAGCTGAAGTTGAATTAAACGTCGAGTCCAGATGAGGCTCAGAAACGGCTCGCTGGTTAGGCACCAACTCGTTAGGCTGAAAGAGGCTTACAGCATCAGCATCTATACCTCTTACAGTTCCCAACATCGCCGTGGAACCTATCTTGTTTCCCTGGCAGGGGCGTTCAAGTATACCCGTAATGTTTCATAATGTCTTCTGACATATTTCAGTACAAACCCCTCGAGCACCGAGATTCTTTCCGACTCCTGCATCTGGAGCCTAGTCTCGACCACAGCGCAGATCTCAAAGGCTCGTTGCATCATGCTACACTCTCTGATTACAACTATGACCTGATCGAACCATACACTGCTCTATCCTACGTCTGGGGCGATGTAAGCCACAAGGGCGTGATACACCTAGGTGGTAGAGCCATGGAGATCACTGCTAGCCTGGACGCTGCTCTAAGGGACATGCGCGATAGGAGTCGAGTTTTTTCGGATTTGGGCAGATGTTTTGTGCATCGATCAGTCAAATAATGCTGAAAAGGGTTTGCAAGTCGCCATGATGGGGAGGATATACTCCACTGCGCATCATACTGTAATTCATCTGGGAAAATCGCCTAAGGGATTTGAGAAGCTGGTCAAAGATCTCAAGGTTCAAAGCCAGACAATGATGCATGAAAATACGCCGGCCAGTGGGCAGTTTTCATTAGCAGCGGATGAGGTTGACTGTATGCGACGGAATCTACTATCAAAGCCATGGTTCCGCAGAGTCTGGGTTTTCTAGGAGCTTGTGCTTTCCACAGATGTTTGGGTTCGGTGCGGTGACCTACGAATGCGGTGGCACCATTTTTGCCCCATTGTCGAGACCAAAAATGTCGTTGCTGCCATGCTACTTGACACTCTGTCTGACAGTATCGTCCAGCAAGGCCAGCCTCGAAACCTAACGCCCTTGAAGGACATGAACAGTAGACGATACGGCGCGTTTGAGGCACCACTATCTACGATTCTTTTCTGTCGGAGAGGAATCGGAGCCACTGATCCTCGAGATATCGTATTTGGTCACCTGGGTGTTGTATCGGATCGAGATAGGTGTGATAGTTTTACCAAGATCGATTACGATAGAGATCTTGCGCACGCGTCGGTCGCATGCTGCTCGGTATTTACTAGATGCTACAGGTATCGAGAGTCCTCTCCTGCATGCCATGAACCCTTCTCCCATTAAATCTCCCGAGGTTCCTTCTTGGTGTCCCCGCTGGTTTAGGCTGCAGGTCCCTTGGGAAAATACACACAAAGTTGGTAAAAGATTCATTGGTGGTGATGATTATGATGAGTGGCTGTTGACTTGGGAGAAAGCTGTTCGATCTTTCCGGTTCAGCATCGTTTACCTGTAGAGCAGTGCTACATCCATCAATACGTTCCTTGGAACGGGGTCTTCCGAGATCTGGGTTCAGGGTGTTTGCCCTTCATTAGCTCGTGGTGGAGTAGTTCTAATGACAGTTTCTCAAAGTGTTCTTGACAACAATCTATTTAGGGGGGTTTCGGGATTCAATTACCCGAGGATACCAGTAAGAAATCTATTTGGCCTTTCCGAACCTTTACAGTCTTAAAGCCATTGCAAAATCTGATTTTGTGGGCTTTTCCTGAATTTTCTCATCATCACGTCATTGTGAGCCCCCCATGAGAGTTTCATTTGGTGGACCACTGTCCACTCATACATAGACATCGGCCCTCTATTATTATCTGCGTATACCTAAATTCCCATCCCCATCTCACCTGGAACCAACCCTCAATCTCAAAGAAGGTTTTGAACTCAACACAATGTCTACTACTATCAAGCCACTCATACTAGCCGGTGGAAAGTCCACTCGAATGGGGTCTCCAAAGCATCTTCTTCCTATGCCTAATGGACGCGCTTTGTATCAACACCAGGTTGAAGTCCTTCGAAAAGCATGCCCTGAAGCAGAGACTGTCTACATTTCTCTGGCTCCAGACTCTGAGAGGGATGATCTTCTACAGAATGCCGGCAAGGTTTCGTACGAAGCCACCCCAGGAGAGAGTAGCATCGAGATTATTCTTGACCTGGAATCGAGTCAAGGGGATGGGTCGAAAGGGCCAGCAGCTGGACTCCTTGCGGCATATGAATCGGACCCTCAAGCGACTTGGCTAGTGGTGGCGTGTGACTATCCTTGCATTACTTCATCAGCCCTGCAAGAACTCCAAGAACGCTACAAACCTCCTGTTACATGCTTTAAGAACCATGAGGGCTTCTGTGAGCCTCTTCTGGGAATATGGAGTCCAGAGGCTATCAGCCATCTCAAGGAGAACTGCAGAGCAGGAAAGCTCAGCCCCAGCAAGGCTGTTTCGGAACTTGGCGGTTGCACGTATCTTCCTAACGACTCGGAAGCATTGCTACGAAACGTAAACATCAGATCAGAATGGGATGATGCACTCAGATCACTTAGAGATGAGCCGACAGACAATTTTATTGAAAAGCCTTTGGAGGTGCTGTAGGGCCATGTAGTTCAAGATATCAGAAATTCACTCATGGGATAACAAGATACCATCTGTCCCGTTTCGATGACCTCATTTGCCTTGATGTGAATCCAACAGTTTGCCTGCACAAAGAGTGCCATCTTAGCTGGACCAAATACCCCAGCAGCTTCGTGAACTGTAAGCCCCTTGTCACCTATCATTTGCAGAACTCCAGGTCGGAACCTGTCGCAGTTGAGTCCTCTGTTGGGCGCATCCATAATACTCTTCCGTAATGAACTACCTAGCTGGGGGTCCTCCAAGCGCGCAAGCACAGGCTTCTCCGGCTGTTGACCCATAAGATGGCGCATATACGGGACAGTCAAGAATTTGAAACAGGCTGCTGCTGCACCAGGGTTTCCTGGTAGTCCAAAGAACGCGATCTCGCCCCTGGCCGAAGGCAGTAGTGCGAAGAGAACCGGGTGGCCTGGACGGACAGCTACGCCGTGGAAGATGATAGTTGCACCGAGGGTTTCCAGTGCCTGACGGACGTGATCGAACTTACCAACGGATACGCCTCCACTTGTAATTAGGATGTCCACCGCTGGTGATTCCAATTGGCTTTTTATGGTGTGAACGATAGCATCCACTTCGTCTGTAATTGAGCCGCCAAAGGTTGCATCGGCCCCAGCTTCTGTTGACGCTGCCGTCAGGTATACTCCATTGACATCTCTGATATGAGACTTTGGCGAGGTCAACTCATTGCCGGTTGACCAGATACATACTCGCGGCTTCTTCCGCACCTGGACCTTATGGATCCCAACGGAAGCGAGGGGCATGATGTGTGATGTCCGGATAGTGATTCCCCTCTCCATCACTAGATCACCTTTCTGGATGTCTTCACCGGCAAACCGACGATTGGCGTATCTCGGTACTGGCTTTCTGATAGCAATACACGCCCCGAGCCCTGCCTCTTTTGCAATAGTCCTGGTAGCGTCTTCGACCTTGACGCATGCATCGAAAACCTCCCCAAGTACACCCTCTGGAAATCGTCCCCCTGTCATGATCTCGAAACAAGGCTGGGGTTCATCTAGCGTATGAAATGAAGGCAGAGTGGAAGAGTCATCGCCAGCGGCGATTGTTCCTTTGACGCAAAAGAAGACCGGGTGGTCTGCAGAGGCTGATTTTGTGCTCTCTGAGCTAATTGCGTAGCCATCCATCGCAGATGTGTCGAACTCTGGTGTTGAGATGGGACTGTAGTGATCGCATGCTGAGACGCGACCGGCTGCCTCTTCTATCAATACCGACTCGATTCCTGTCGATACATCTTGACTTTCTGTAATCGCACGAGCAGTTTTCTCCAATTCCAAGCGTGCAGAGATATATGTTGTTGCCATTGCGAGCGGTGATCCTGTCTAGCCTGTCAAAATGCCAGGATGTATTTACCCACTGGGTTCGGCCGGCGATGCTAGATATTCATGACATGCAAACGCCCGGAGATGCATTGTCTCGATGCGGATCATAACGTTGGAACTAACATACGCTAATCAATGTACAAGATTTCACTCGTCATTCTTTTTATTTATTTATCACGGAAATAATCATTTACGTCACTGTTACTATTATCCACCATAATAACGTCAAGTTAGCATCATCCTGTCGACATGACCATCGACGATGCCATATTGACGAATTACCTTCGATACCAATATGTCGGTAGAGTCCAGTTATTTGCGTTGCATTACAAATTTTCTGGGGAGAGCTGTGGCCACCCAGAAATTCCCACCAATTTATCTTGCTGTCCATCTACCTCATCACACCTAAATTAATGGACGACGTGAATATGAATAATTGCAGTGAACCTCCCTCTATATGCTCGCGAGACTCTATTGAAGATATTTGGGGGCCGAGAACACCCTATGTTCATCAGTGGCCTACAAGGGTAGATCATGCTTGTGATGAGGAGCCGGAGAAATGGGTACAGAGTGCATGTGTGCTGTGCAGGTAAGCAACTGGCTACAGTCATGTTTTAGAATTTGGTCTAACGGCAATTATCTAGCAATGGTTGTGGGCTCGACATTGGTGTTAAAAATGGCAAGGTTGTTGGTGTGAGAGGCCGTGCTACCGACCGCATCAATAAAGGAAGACTCGGTCCGAAGGGACTCAACGGGTAAGTTTCAATATATAGGGGGCCTTGAAGTGATACAACTAATGCTCAATGTTTAGTTGGAAGGCTATCAACAGCAAGGAACGGCTCACTCATCCTCTGATCCGAAGAAACGGCAAGCTTGAGCGTGCAACTTGGGATGAAGCTATGGACCTCATTGTCAGAAAGTCAAAGCAGCTCGTTGAGAAACTCACAGCCCATAGCATAGCTTTCTACACCAGTGGCCAGCTTTTTCTCGAAGAATACTATGTTCTTGCTCTGATTGGGAAAGCTGGATTGAATACGCTTCACATGTAAGCTTTTTACTGCTCCTTGGAAGAGATCACATTCTGATGACCCTCAGGGACGGAAATACTAGGCTCTGCACTGCAACTGCGGCAGCTTCAATGAGAGAGTCGTTTGGGAGCGACGGGCAGCCTGGTTCGTACACTGATATCGACTATACGGATTGCCTCTTCATGGTAGGGCACAACATGGCAGCTACTCAAACTGTGCTTTGGTCAAGAGTTCTCGATCGACTAGCCGGCCCAACTCCCCCAAAATTGATCGTCGTGGACCCTCGCTACAGTGAGAGTGCTTCCAAAGCTACGCTGCACCTAGCCCCCAAGATCGGTACCAATCTTGCCTTACTGAACGGCATTCAGCATCTCATGTTCAAGAACGGCTGGATCAACGAAGCTTATGTCTCTAAGCATGTCGTCGGTCTTGAAGATCTCAAAAGCACAGTTGAAGGCTACAACCCCGAGAGAGTTGCAGAAATCACTGGTGTCCCAGCAAGCAAGATTGAGGAAGCCGCTAGGATCCTCGGCCAAACACCAAGTCTACTGTCATCAGCCCTCCAAGGAGTGTATCAGTCGAACCAAGCGACAGCCAGTGCCTGTCAGATTAGCAACATCCATCTCCTTCGCGGTCTTATTGGTAAGGCAGGAAGTGGTATCTTTCAGATGAATGGCCAGCCAACAGCTCAGAATAACCGCGAGACTGGTTGTGATGGGGAGTTCCCTGGGTTCCGAAACCATCAGAACGCCAAACACATGCAAGAACTGGCAGATCTGTGGAATATCGACAACATCCAGGTGCCGCACTGGAATGAGCCTACTCATATCCACAACATTTTGACGTTTATGGAGAAGGGCTCTATTCGAATGGTTTGGGTTTCGGGCACGAACCCGCTCGTCAGCTTGCCCAACCTTCCCAAGGTCCGAGATATCTTTACCCAACCGGAGTTATTTGTCATCTGCCAGGATATTTACATGACAGAGACGGCTTCTATCGCCGATGTTGTTCTTCCAGCTGCCCAATGGGGTGAGAAGACAGGATGCTTTACAAACGTTGACCGAACGGTGCATTTATCTCGCAAGGCTGTTGAACCGCCGGGGGAAGCCAAGCCAGATCTCGAGATATTTCTAGACTATAGCCGTCGCATGGGCTTCAAGAATAAAGAAGAAAGACCTCTCACGCCTTGGACGCAGCCAGAAGAGGTTTTTGAGGCATGGAAGCGTCTATCTGCTGGTAGGCCTTGTGATTACACGGGCATGTCTTATGGGAAGCTCACTGGTGGCTCTGGTCTTCAATGGCCTTGCAAT